TTTTACTATAAAATTTTTATAATACATTTTAAATAATCTAAATTATTAAATTTAATAATTATTGCTATTTATTTGAATAATTAAATAATCAAAATAATATTAAAATTATAAATTAATATTTTTTTTTATATACAAGCAAAAAATAATATAAAACAACTTTATTTGCATGATGCAAAACATAACTTATGGCAATGAAGTATTAAATGTATAAAGTATTATGCATTTGCACTAACATTAATGTCATTTAAAATGGATATTTATTATAAAAAAAATTATGATTAAGTTAGATTAATTGTTAATTTAATTATTAAATTTTGCTCAATAAAACAAATGCAATAAGCTATGAATAATATTATTATTTAAATTTTTAAAATATATAGTTTTAAAAATTTTGTAAATTATTTAAGCATTACGTTAATAGAGGTATTAATAAGCACGAAAAAGATGTATCTATTTTTATATTATAAATCGCTTAGTAAGAACCAGAAATACCAGAAATGACTATTTTTTTTTTTTAGTATTTTGACCCCTTTCCCCTTCCCGTCATCAGATATTTTAATGATAAAAACAATAAGACTAACTAAATAAAAGAACTGCATTTTTTGATTAGATTTGCATGATTTCTCATTAAATTCTAGGAGTTAACTAGTAAGTTGGTGGTTAAAAAATAACTATTCTTTATCAAATGATGTCATTTTTTGGCACTCCTAACCCTTTTCATTTATTAGGAACGAATAAGAGATTGTTAAAGAGAATCAACAAAAATTTATGGAAGCATTAATACGTGAAGTGAAGCTTCCCAAAGCAAAACAAAAATTTTTAAAATTATAAAGGCATCGTTGGATTATACAGTAGTAAATAATATTATTTATTATTCATAAAATGAAATGAGATCTACGGAATGAATGATTGTCCTGATCAGCAAAGGGGAGGATTATTTTCAATATTAAATTGATTTTTATTCCCCTTTCTATTGCTAAGCACCCATATGAACTATGAACAAATTAAATGATTAGGGAGATGTTTCACTTACCAATAAAAGTATAAAAGAACCATATTGGTTTAATTATTTCTAATGCTTTTAATTTTATATTTTTAGATTATCCATTTATTAAATATTTGTTTCCTTGATAAACCAAATATTTGTTGGGTCCTATTGCGTAACAAAATTGTGTAAATCCATAAAAGGAAATATTTCAAATTTAATGTTCAATTTGGTTGATGAAAAATTTGGTGCAAAATTTTCAACTTATATTCTCTCAAGCAGCGGAAAAACTTCCCTTCAACAATCGGCTTTCTAACTCATTTACTATATACCTTCTTTAACTTTTTTTGCCGATTAATCCTTTCTAAAAATATTATTTTTTTTTTCAACTTTACTTTTAAATATGTTACAGACTGCCCAGGTTTGTAGAATATCGTATTTATTTCTCGATATAAAAATCTTTTATTTCGGCTCAAATTATTTATTTTTATTTATTTTTTGATATTAAAGGTCGAAGACATGATTTTAGTTGAGAAACATATTTCTCCGTCACTTTCATCCATCACTGATACTTCTCCAATAACAAAGACCACCACTACCACCATAAAAACTACATTATCCGCAACATTAACAAATGATGATGAATTGAATAGATTACCAAGAAAGATAGCGAAACGTGTTGATATCTTTCAACCTCGTAGATCGCAATTAGATCGTGAAACTTTGGACTCACATCAAGAATCATTTCGAGGATTTTTTACATTATTTTGGATAGCAATGGGATTTTATATAATCCAAGCCGGTGTAAAAAATTTTCAGTCAACAGGAATTTTAGTAGATTTAACATTTTTCCGATTATTTTCACAAGATGCAATAGGGTTAATATTAAGTGATATGTGTATGGTTGGATCAATGTTTTTCTCAGTTTTAATACAAAAAGTGATTGCACGTGGATGGATCAGATGGCGATATACCGGAATGATCATACAACACGTTTTTCAAGTTATGTTTCTGTTTGTTCCTATATATTGGACGTTTTTTAGGTAGGATTATTCTTAAAAATTTATATAAAGTTATTAGAGTTTTTTTTTCACCCTCCTTAATCGATTTTAATAGAGGTTGGCCATGGGTACAAAGTGGTTTCTTTGTTCTTCACACTATTTCTATGTTGATGAAACTTCATTCTTATTCGTTTTATAATGGCGAGTTGTCTACGTACGTTGTTCGTCTTTCTGAATTGAAGGAAAGATTTGCTAATTTGGTTGGAGAATCAAAGAAATCAGATATAGAGGTAGATGAAAAAGATGAGAATCAAAGACAAATGTTGGATCAATTAAAAGAAAAGATTGATCAAGTTGAAGGTTACCTTCATAGTCCATCTAAGAGCATTCGTTATCCCGAAAATGTAACCTTTTTGAATTATGTGGATTTCTTGTTGGTTCCAACTTTAGTTTATGAATTAGAATATCCAAGAACTGAAAAGTAAGCTAAAAATTTTTTTTGTTCAATTAAATTTACTATTTATTTATATATATTAAAATTTTTTACTCACTTTTTTTTTTTAGAATTCGTCCTTGGTATCTTTTTGAAAAAATTTTGGCAACTTTTGGAACTTTCTTCCTTTTATACGTAAATACCGAAACATATATAATTCCTATTCTCCCTAATGTTTCAACTTCATTTTATAATACCATGGTGCAAATGCTTTTTCCATTTATGATGGATTATTTATTAATATTTTATATTATTTTTGAGTGCATTTGCAATGTATTTGCGGAATTAACTTGGTAAGAGTAATATTAAAATATTATGTGATTATTTTATTTTTTGATTTTAACCTCCCTTTTTTATTAAATATATATATATATATATTTTTAGTTTTGCTGATCGTAATTTTTATGATGACTGGTGGAACAGTACAACATGGGAAGAATTCGCAAGAAAATGGAATAAACCCGTACATCACTTTTTACTACGACACGTTTATCAATACTCAATTGAGTCTTATAAATTATCTAGAAGAGACGCTACATTTATGACATTTTTTTTATCATCTTTAATTCATGAACTCGTTATGGTCGTAGTATCTAAAAAAATCAGAATGTACTTATTTTTCTTACAAATGCTTCAACTTCCTTTAATCTGGTTAAGCAAATTACCTGCAATTAAAGAAAAAAAATGGCTCGGTAATGCATTCTTTTGGTTTGGATTATTTTTAGGACCACCATTGTTGGGAATTTTATATTGTAGAGAAGTATTTGCTTCGGATTAAAATTATTTAATTATTTAAGAGACAAATTTGTTGGTCTCTTTGTAAGTAATAGATTTTAGATTAATTTAAAACATTTTATCAAATATTTAATTAATGGATACTATATCGCGTTAAAAATTATAAAATAAAGTATACAAGTAAATTTTAATTTATTCTTACTAAAAACTTTTTGAATTATATTTCCATAATCAAAATTGTTTTTAAATTGTCAAAAAAAACAAAAAATTAGATTTTTGTAAGTTATAATCCCACTTTAATAAAATAAAAAATTTTTTTTTTTTTTTTTTTGATCTAATCTAATTTAATCATCCTCCATCTCTTCATTAAGCGAGTCCTAAAAAAATGAAATTTATTAAATTTATTGTTAAAAAAAGAGTACATATAATACATATTATTAAGGGTAAAAACCTTTGCCAATCTTTCAGCTTCTTCTACAATCTCTCTAGGCACAAATTGATGTCGTTTAGTCTCGCATGTGATCCAACTTAACTCCAATTCAAATGATTTATCTTTTGAATCGTCATGAACGGTATAAATGCTAATATATATATATTACACAAAATGAAAGTAAGATGTTTAAATATTATATATATAAGCATAGGTTAAATTAAAGAAATTCATTACATTTTGGCAGCTGTATTTACAGCATCGAGAACGGATAACTCGGAAAGATTAAGTTTCTCAATTTCTGTCTTTGCCACTTGTTTACCCTTACCAATCGCACAACCATTATAACCCTAAATTTTAAAGGAGTTAAAGTAATGTTTCATAAAAAATTCTATAAATTTAAACTCACCCAATATACACCAGATGGTTCGATCATATAAAGTTGTGGTCCATCGTTATCAACAGCTCCGATGATAGCACTGCTACCGAATGGTCGAACACTAGAATATAGTGTATAAGCTTGTACGTATTGACCTACTCTATCAGCAATAACCTATATAGATTAAAATCAATTTATTTTCTTTTATTTTCATAATTTTTTTTTGTAAAAAAAGGGGGGATGTCTTTCATTGAAATACCTTGCCAGGAATTTGAATTTTATAATTATTCCGAAAATTTTCTGCTTCATCCCTAGCTCGATTGATGATATGACGACCATCTGCTAATAAACCAGCCGTTGCCTATTGTAATAAAAAACAGATTAATAAAGCAAACTATTAAAATATGAAGCAATGATTACTTACCACCCCAATATGAGTATCGACGGTTTGAATCAGACGATTCGAAATCGGAACCAATAATTTGGATTGTAAAAGTTTCTCAACTGCCAATACTATGCCATCTTTTACACGCAAACCAATTGCAGTTCTATTTTATGAAAAATTTATGTACAATAAAAACTTCAATAGTAGTAAATAATAATAATGTCTTACTACCGCTTAAGAAGGTAGATAACTAATTACCACATCAAGGAAACATGACTAAAGTAAAAAAAAAGGTACCCGCAATTATCAACGGCTTTTGCAGCATATTCAACCTGAAAAACGCGACCGTCAGGTGAATATGTGGACACGGAAAGATCGTACTATATATAACATAAAGGTGAATAAAATCAAAAGGTGAACCGAAAAAAAAAAAAGTTTGCATTTAGTTGTATAGAAGACCTACACCAGTTCCGATTGAGCTCATGTTGAGATGGGTTTATGAATGAACCACAGCTAAAATTAAATTTTAATGATCTTTGATGGATTACGTCCTTTATTACATTAATTCTTACGTTTTATCACGTGAAATCAGAATAAAATGGATCGACATGTGAATTTCTAATTTGATAAATGCTGGAGAAATTTGGGGAATTCATGCTTAACGTTGACCTAGAATGTAAACGATGCATAAGAAATTTTTTATCAATTAGTACAATGCGTCCGGGAAGATTTTCCCGTCTCAATGTTACGTTTTCTTAATGTGATGACAACCAATATTACACATGCCAATCTTTACCAATATTACGAATGAATGTCATATATAATTTATAAATTGCAGCCGGATAAATTTCTCGTATGAATTAATTCGTTTATATCTTCTTTATAAAACAATAAGAATCGCAATAAAAAAAGGGTATTCCTTTATTGTGTTTGTATTTTAGGCTTTCCATTTTGAATGAAAATTAATAATTTTGATTTCAAACCTTTCAACAATTACTTTTTTGTTTTTTACTTTATGAAAAATAACTAAAAATCTTTTAATTAATAAAAGAATGGATTCTAATATGTACCCGGGTACTGAATAGATGTTCACAATCATAATTGTATTTGTTTGTTTGAAAAATGCTTTCGAAAGAATAAATGATTTACATGAAACGATAAATTTTAAACAGTAAGATTTGTTCTTTGTTGAGAGTCTTTGTTTGCCTGTTGTGGAGAATTAGGGAGTCAATCTGTTACAAAAGTGGTAAGCCAATAAAATAATAAGTCTTTGACGACGCGCGGACAAGAAATGCGCAGTAGATTTGTAAAAAAAAATTGTTGGTAAGCCGCAGTAAGCTCAGTCATCGATGAAACCTTTATTTCTTTTGATTTGAATTTTACCCCCTTGAGATAAATAAATAATAATTAAGTATTGATTTTCTATTATGGAATTTGCACATCGCGGGGATTTTATCATATGATCTATAATAATGATCATTATCACTATATCACAATATCTATTAAGAAAATTTTATTCTCTAAAAACAAAACATTGATTGAATGATTTTTTTTCATTTCGGGAATGTCTACTATGTGTATCGGCTGATGCGGATATTAAAAAAAAATTTTTTTTATTGAATGTGAAAAAAAAAATTATTATTTGGGACATTTTGCGAGGCTTATATCAAAAAATATTAACTGCGCATGTCGTCGTTGCATGCGTTGCATGCATCTTTGGTACAACAAGAATATATTACAACTAATAGTGTGTCGTAATACATGCTATCATCGTTAATTAAATCTAAAAAACTTTTCAAAAAAAATTTAATAAACTCCTTTGAAATTTAAAACTATTTTCAAGATTACTTTGTCGTAATTACAATGTTTAAAAGAAAAGTTGTAAGTCGCTCACGTTAAGCGTCTTTATTTTTCTTTTGATTTCTTCATATCCTTACAATACTTTATTATTTTACATCTGTTTTGTAGCTACGGAAATCAGATAGTAGTAATAGTAGCAGTAGTAATGGAAAAACCGGAGGCGGTTCAAAATCTTCAGGAAAGAACTCTGGAGCCTCAAGCGATAATCCGAATGCCCCAACTATCGTAGTTGTTAATGCTGGAGAGCAGGTTCGTAAATTTTCAGGTTTCACAAAATAGTTGTAATAAAATCTTGAAAAAAAGGTTGCTATAATGCATCTGAACCTTTATCTGACTTGCCATTATATTCAAATTACAAATTATTCACCCATTTGTTACTTTCAGAGAGGGCATGCTACTCCCCCAGAAAATTCAGCGCCTTTATCGCCTGCTGGTAATCCACATAAATCTCATTCAAAAGAAGAGCCTCCTAAAAGAGACCCTTTGAATCGTTTGAAAGGGACACCAAAAGACGTTATTCCTATAAGCAAAGCACCACGTCGTCAAAGATCGTCAAGGTTTCATGTGACTGAAAAAGTCGAGTTGGAGAAATTACCAAATTTTAATGGTTAGTTTTGTAGCATACCAATGTTAGATCTTAAATAGTTAGAATTTTATAATAAGCCTCTTTTCAATAAATTATCAGAGGTTTCACCGGACAAAAGACAAGAACTTTTTCTTAGAAAGCTTACCCAATGTTCGGTAATTTTCGATTTCAATGATGCAAGCGCTGACCTTAAAGGAAAAGAGATTAAGAGGTCAACACTGGCCGAGCTCTTAGAATATATCACTACAAATCGAGGAGTAATTACCGAACCAATATACCCTGAGGTCGTTTCGATGGTTTGTTATAGCTTTTTATATATATGAATATATATATTGTAAATCAGAGTATGAATTTCTATATTTTGATGATTTATTAGATAATAATCGAACATGTACATGATTGGCTAGTTTGCTATCAATCTTTTTAGAACCATACCTCCACAAGTAAATCCCACAGGTGACGCCTTCGATCCCGACGAGGATGAACCCGTACTCGAACTTGCGTGGCCTCATCTTCAAATCGTTTACGAATTTTTCCTTCGATTTATTGAATCACCAGATTTCAACACGAATATTGCCAAAAAATACATCGATCCACAATTTATATTGCAAGTGTGTAAAACAAAGTTTTTCTTATCATTTATCATACATATAATTCCTTCTGGTTTTGGCTTTTCGTATTTGTTCTTATTATTTTGCTTCTTTACTTATTTTCTTTAATTTTTTTTTGGTACATCTAGTTGTTGGAATTATTTGATAGTGAAGATCCAAGGGAGCGAGATTTTTTAAAGACTACATTGCATCGAATTTATGGAAAGTTCTTAAATTTACGTGCATTTATTCGAAGGTCCATTAATAATGTGTTTTTTCAGTTCATATATGAAACAGAACGTCATAATGGTATTGCCGAATTATTGGAAATCCTTGGAAGGTAGAAATCTAATGACAACAATTCTTTCACTAATTTTAATGAATTTTTCCAATTGATCAAAATTTTTAACATTTCAGTATTATCAATGGTTTTGCATTACCATTAAAAGAAGAACACAAAACATTTCTCACGAAAGTCTTGATACCTTTGCATAAAGTCAAATCTTTGACGTTATATCACCCTCAATTAGCATATTGCGTTGTACAATTTTTGGAAAAAGATCCATCATTAACAGAAGAAGTAAGGATATATGTATCATTATTTTTTATTTTTATACGTTTAACTCTTCACTGATTTTAATAATTGCGTTTAATTATTTCAGGTTATTTGTGGCCTATTAAGATTCTGGCCGAAAGTAAATAGTCCAAAAGAAGTTATGTTTTTAAATGAAATTGAGGAAATCTTGGATGTGATAGAACCACAAGAGTTTGTAAAGATTCAGGTTTCATTATTTCAACAAGTTGCTCGATGCGTGTCAAGTCCACACTTTCAGGTATAGTAATGAAATAAAATAATTATACCAAATTACAAATTACAGATCATAAATTAATTTATCATTATAATTATAAATTGTAAATTAAGGTGGCAGAAAGAGCGTTATATTATTGGAACAACGAATACATTGTCAACCTGATAGGTGATAATGTGAATGTTATTTTACCAGTAATGTTTCCTTCTTTATATCAGAATTCTAAGGCTCATTGGAACCGGTAACTAAAAATTTTTTCGATTATTTCTATTAACTCTTATTACATCACATATTAATATTATCTATTCCTTTTATTTAAGTACTATTCACGGCTTAGTATATAATGCTTTGAAATTGTTCATGGAAATCAATCCAGCATTATTCGATGAGTGTACGGCACAATATAAACAAAGTCGTCAATTGTAAGTGTAAATCATAAAGAAATTTGTGTTATCCAGGCAACCTGACTCAAATATTAATATTTATAGGGAAAAGAAAAAAATGCGGGAAAGAGAAGAGACATGGCACAGATTAGAAAGGACTGCTGCACACAATTCTCAAGGACTTCCCCTTCCTTATGCCATTGGCGGACCTTTGATATCTTCAAGAACTGACGTGTCGAGTAAGCAAGCATATTTTAAAATTTTGTTTATATTTCAAATAAAACTTTTGAAATTAATTTACTTTCTAAAATCCTAGCTATTCAAAATTTTAATACGTTTGATAATGATGAGAATCAATCAAGTGGCGATGATGAGTCGGGTGAAGATGAACGTCAAGAAGTAGATAGACAAGAAGATGAGCATGGAGAATTGGTTTGTTATTCTTACCTTTATCAACTTTATCAATAAAAGACTATTTTTCTCACATTTATTTTTCTCACATTTATTTTTTATTTTTTTTTTTATTTTTTTTTCTAGCAAGCTTTTGACGGTAGGCCAGATGGTTTTAATTTATTCCGTCGAAAATCAATTATACCAGTTGATGAATCTGTGTTGTCTGAATTATCAAGGCATCGTAGTTTGGAAGAAGTTCTTAATGGACCACCAGATTCTTCAGGCAGCCCAACAAAAAACCCTTAATTTTATTTAGTTTCATATAGAATGAAATATTCTTTTTTTTTTAACCACTCTTCATGTTAGACATACGATTATGAATGTATTGTATGTGCGGGATAAGGATAATGGGTCTTGTCCGTTAAGTTAGAAACTCTGGATTAGTTTGTGTATTTTACTTTTTTGCTTTATACTTCATTTCGCTCGCGACAATTATAGAACTAAAATGATGTCGTATTGAGTCGACAATTTTCAAATTATTTTATATCAAATTGGACAAAAAGTTCATTGTGTCGCACAAAAAAAATCCGCAGAGACAATTCTTTAAAAACTTAAAATATAATGACAAAAATGAGTCTTTACAAAGACTTTCACAATTCTTTAATATTGATGTATAATTCAAAGCTTTTTTAATGCATATATTTATATATCGCAAAGAAAAGAGAAAAAGAAAAAAGAAAATGGTTTCGGTTTTTTTTTTTATATATATATATATTTTTTATATATATATATTTTTTTTTTATTATTATTTTTTTTTTTTTTTTGGATGGGAACTTATTTGATTTTATTTTTAATAGCTATTAAATATCTTTTTATATTAGTATTAATTTATAGTGCTGTCAACATATTTAGTTTAGATCGGTGTTTAAAACCCTAATATTATTAGTATTTTTTATTCTGTATTATTGCGCAGGCGCCTTTTTTTAATGTTGCCTACTTTCAGTATATTTTTTTCCATATAATAAATTTGAATTCATTTTTTTTTTTTACATTTAAATGTAAATAAATCCAAAATTTTCTTATATAACTAGTCTTTATTTATCTCAAAATTAGTAAAATTTTACTTTTTTTTTTTTTTAATAAAAAAAGTTAATTTTTTTTTATCATTATAGCCTGAAATTAGGTAAATTTTTCATAATTTTAGAATCACGTGAAGTTAGCTTTATCATATGCTTTTTTAATAATTTATTTACAAAAACTTTTTTAAGTTAAATATGAAAAGAAAAAGAAGTTTTTCGGTAAAAAAAGGGAGGAAGAATAAATTTGGAATTAAAAAGGGGTTAGGAATAAAAAAGTTGACAAGAAAAGATAAGGAGACTTTAGAAGAGTATGGTACTTTAAACCCTACTGAGTTGGAAGAGAGTGAAAGCGACGAAACAGAGGGGGGTTTTTCAAAGTACGCATTAAAAAAAGATCTGAATATTTAAAATTTATCCAGAATAGATTAAAATAATTAAATTCAATTGCGTAATTGTCCATTTTATTATTTGATAGGGGAAAGGTGGTTACAGAAGATCAATTGGATGAAGAGAGAAAATGGGAAGAGGATGAAATGATGAATGAAACTTCTGAAGATGAAAAAGATGATGATGATGAAAGTGTTGAGGAATTGTACTTGGATAAGCCTGATTCATCTTACAGAAAACTTGTTGGATTATTGCAGGTTAATAAAAAACAAAAAATAGATGAAGTAATGAAGGAGAATGTAGAAATTGATAAAGTAGAAAGTAAAATTGATGATGTCGAGATTAATTTAAAGAATGAAGAGTGTAAAGATAAAGAAAAGGCTGAAATGGATAATAATAATGATTATGATCAAGAACAAAATGCAAAAGGTAAGTCTTAAATTATAAGATTTTTTTTTACTCCCTCCTTTGCAATATTTATTCTCTAATTATAGCTAGTTATTGTTATTATTAGATGAATTCGAAAGGCATTTTGAAAACCAACAAACATTAAATGGTAAAGTATCCATGATTGAACAAAAAAGATGGAATATAATCAATTATGAAAATTCTGTTTTAAACATTGTTAGTCAATATACACTTATTAATAACGAGGAGAAGAACGATCATAATGAAAGTGATATGACGAATCTTAATTCACTAAAGGTATTAATTTACTAAAGGTATCAATTTATAAATTCATATATTTATTAAAAGCTTTTTGTTTTAATAGATCAGACCAAAATTATTAGAGACTTGGAAGAAAATTAATGGTAAGTTTCTATATCTTAAAAATATCTATCTTATATGGTTGGTTGATGTGATAATAACTATCATATTTATCATTAGATAATACATTCACTGAATTACAATGGCACTTGTTTCAACAATTTAATAAATATCGAGATGTATTATATACGAATAAAAATGTTAAAGACTCACACCAAATAAAATGCGTGTATGCTTTACACGCTTTGAATCACATTTTCAAGTAAGTAAAATCAATTAATAATAAATTATAGTCATTTTAACATAAATTTAATATATATTAAATGTGAATATTTATATATTTTTTTATATAGGGTTAGAAATCGCGTATTAAAAAACAATGAAAAATTAAATAACGCACACGCAGCTGGTAGAGATATTGAGTAAGTAGTGACGCGTGAAAAGGAACAATTTTCAAACAAAATATTAATTAATCTAATAATTTCCATTCAAAGTGAAATAAGGGATCAAGGATTTACAAGACCAAAAGTATTAATCTTATTACCATTTCGTAATTCTGCCATGGATTTAGTAGAAATATTGATAAAATTATCAGGGACGGATCAACAAGTAAGGATATGAAAATTTAGCCTTTCGATCTTCACAAGAAAATTATATATTAACAGGTTCTTCTTTATATTACTTAAGGAAAATCGAAAACGATTTTTTGACTCATTTGGAATAACGCCTGAACAAGAAAAAATTGATCCAAAGAAACCAGGTATGCCTTTTAACTGTCACAATTCTTTTTAAATGTTGAATACTTTGTATTTTATTAATTGAGTTTATTTTGGGTAGCGGATTTTTTGGCGACGTTTAAAGGGAATATTGACGATATGTTTAGAATTGGTATAAAATTTACGAGAAAATCTATGAAATTTTATGCTGAATTCTATAATGCAGATATTATAATCGCGTCTCCATTAGGATTAAGGATGGTAATAGGAGCCGAGGGGTGAGTAGCTTAAACTATATGTCTGTGTAAAACGTGAATGAAATCTGAGATTTACTTGACGGAAAATTAAAAAAATTTTTAAGTGACAAGAAAAGGGAATTTGATTTTCTTTCATCAATTGAAGTGATGATCGTTGATCAATGTGATACTCTCTTGATGCAGAATTGGGATTATGTCGAAGTAAGTATTAAAGAAACTGTGATATTTATGATATATAAATCTTTATTAATTGTGGATTTTTAGCATATATTCAGTCATATGAATCTGATACCACAGAAATCACATGATTGTGATTTCTCACGCGTAAAGGATTGGTACCTTGATGGAAGGTACCCTTCCCCCCCCCCCTTTTTTTTTTTTTTTTTTTTTGATATTTTGATTAATTGTTTTTAATTTGACTTGTATTATATAGAGCGAAATATTTAAGACAGACTATTGTATTTTCTGACTATTTAACTCCGGAAATTAACGCGTTATTTAATAAGCAAATGAATAATATTGATGGAAAAATAAAAATCAAGCATAATAATAAAGGAACTATCTTGGATGTCAATGCGACAAATATTCGTCAGGTACAAGTCGTTGAATTTACTTTGGAAAGTTTGATGTGGTAGTTGACTTGGAAAGTTAAATAACGAATTATTTTTATCTTAAGACGTTTACACGAATCGAATGTAATTTGCTATCAAAAGTCGATGATTTAAGATTTAAATATTTCACTGAAAAGGTAACGAATTACACAAGTTTCATTAAAAACGGGAAGATTTTTTTTTGTTTAATATTAATGAGTTGAATTTTATAGGTGTTACCGAAAATAAGAAAAATGAAATTATCGCATGTAATGATTTTCATACCATCGTATTTTGATTTTGTAAGATTAAGAAATTATTTTGAAGATAATTCATTTTCATTTACTTCAATTAACGAGTTAAGTATACGAACTATTCTGTCTTTGTTATTTATATTTAAAGTTAATTGTAACTTAACCCTTTGTTACTTTTAAATTTTTTTAGATATTCGAGCGTTTCTGATGTTACAAGAGCACGTACTTATTTTCTTAACGGAAAGAAAGATTATTTATTATATACGGAAAGATTTCATTTTTTTAGGAGGTAAAAAGGACAAGTTAACTAATGTTTGTTGTTTAAGATCAACTTATTTCATTAACCAATTCATGTTCTCATTTTCTTTGTTATTAATAGAAATCATATAAAAGGAATCCATCATATTATCTTTTATGCTTTGCCAGATCATGCTCATTTTTATTCAGAACTTTTAAACTTTATACAATTATCACCTTCCAATAAAACTTCAGCTATCGAGAATTCAAACGAGATGATTTCAATTAGCGTATTATTTTCAAAATTTGATCAATTGAGATTGGAAAGGGTTATCGGAACTTCTAAATTTTGTAAGATGTTACAAGGCGAAAAGAAAATTTATACTTTTAGTAATTAAGTTTCTGTATAAATATTTACCCCTCATTAAAAGCTTCTTTTTTTTAATTAATTTTGATTTGTAAAAGTCTTATTAATACACGAGATTTCCTTTCGGAATTTGAACTAAAAAACTAAAATATTTGGGCGGTTTGTTTTTATAATCACATTCGGATCATATGATATGATTTATTATCTTTAGTTTCTAACATTCATAATAACTAGATTCTTGATCCAAAGAACGTAAAATTCATATTATTTTTATACTTTGATCGCGAGATTACTCGGTTCAAAAAAAAAACTTTGATCACAATATAAAAAAAATTTTTTTTTTGTTTAATATTTCAAATATAATGGTTTTTATTATAATACAATACTTTTTCATAACGTTTACTAATATATATACATATACGATTTACATATATCAAAACAAAACACGAAAACAAGTAACTTTTTTTCCTTTTATTACCTGAACTTCCTAAAACAAATATATGTACACGCAAACTAAATAAAAGGGAAGACAGAAAGATCCTTACCGAATGACCCAGAAAATTAACGGAACCCAAAGCAAAACCTACACCCTACAAGAAGCAAAAAAAAAAAAAAAGCTACAAAACGCAAAAAAACCCTACAAAAAGCAAAAAAACCCTACAAAAAGCAAAAAACCCTACAATAAAACAAAAAGTTAACCAACATAAAAAATCACGAAACTATAAAAGCGAACCTAAAAATCCTGTAAAACCTAAACCGAAAATCGAAGAGCGGACGACCTGCCTAACCGACTAAATAAAGGTAGGATGTGGTAAGAGTAAAGTAGTGAGTAAAAACTTGTCATATACAGTAAGTATACTACTATCAAAAAAATGAGACTCTGATATTTTTATTATTTGCGTGTACATATATTTTGTTGGAAAGTTGAAGAAAGAGAATGAACGAAAAAAAAAAGTAGAATCTTCATATTTACGCGATAAAAAATTTGGGGTAAAGAAATTTTGGGGTATGAACATGCACGAATGTCACGTGATGATTTATTTTTGTATCTTACATGGATCATTAATATCTTACTATATAAGGTAATTAATATTACCCGAAAATAGGCTTTATAGTAAGTACAGTAGTAATATTGTAACCTACTGCTCTTATCAAAAAATTACCTCTAATATGGTTTTTACCTCGTGGAGGTTAACTCTTTTATGTTCGTAACTCGATTTACCAGCAAACGACAGTTGAGTTGGGTCAAAATCACAAGATTTTTTTTTGCGGAATGTCTTTATACTAGTATGCATTATTATGTGATAAAGAGTATTGTATGATATATTGGGTATCTATAATGATAGATAATTTACTGGTGTTTAAACACTCCGACGAATTTTCTTAATAAACCAATCAATTATGGTACATCATTTCTAGCATTTCTGGTTTTTCTGATCTCGAACAGTTTTCGTTTTACGTAAAATTCCAACTATGGAGATCAAGCAAACTTGCCTCCCTTTTAAAAAAGTGCTTTTCTAACATGAATGTGATCGATATTATATTAACCAGCGGATACGATAGCATTTGAAATTAAAAAAATTGATGATAAGGAAAACCTGGTGAAATTGATTTTTTTTTTTTTTTTAGATTACGTTCAGAGTTTTTATAATGTAGTCTCTACCTTTTTTTTAAAAAAAAAAATAAAATAAAAATAAAATAAAACGAAAATGCATAACAACCAATAAAACAAAAATTTTAATTTGATTGGAATTTTTAGAAGATAACTGATTTACATTTAATTAATTTCACATAAAAATGACTCGAATGATAAGACCATCATCCAGAAATTTCGATCAATTCATTGCCTCTCTTTTCGGTCATCGATATAAGGATATAATTTTTAATAACAGATATCTTCAAAGAAATATGAAAAGTCATTCATAAACATGTGATCAACAATAAAACAATGGTAATATAAAAAATACGTCTTGAATACATTTTTGAATATTTGGAATTATTTATCATTTATTCGCAATAAAAGATATGATGATATCGTAAGGATAAAATGAGACTGACGTAATGCAGAAATGTGCTTAGCTGGACTTAAACGTAATTATGCTTGGCTTGATGACGAGTTTTTCACATTAAAAACGATAGTTCATCGATAAATTTCTTCTCTTTCTATCTTGTTTTGATAATTCAAAATTATACTAAATATGGATTATAGCGAATACACATTTGAAGATTCTTCTGTGAATAATGATTCACAATCGATAGTTAGTGATGATGATACACGTTCAGAAGCTCTCTCGGGTTATCAATCAGATGGTAACTGATTCCACTCACATTTTATTCAAAATAAAAAATCATAATTAATCTTTTGCATTCCTATAGAATCTCTGGTAACAGAATACGCCTCTGCATTTGAAGAGGATGATGATGAAACAGATCTTACACAAGAGGAGTGTTGGGAAGTGGTTTCATCATTTTTCAAAAATAAAGGCATCATACGACAACAATTGGACTCATTTGATGACTTTATTGAGCGTGGTCTAGTTGAAGTCATAAATGAAACCCCAATGCAAGCGATTAGATATTCTGATTTTGAAGATGGGCAAGAAATTATGGTTTGTTTTCAATACATTTATGTTGAATAGTAGTTGTTATTGGTTCTTTATATATATATATGGAATACGATATACACATTTTTTTTTTAAAAAAAATAAAAATTAATTCTACAATTTAGACTCAATACCGTTTCGAGTTTGATAATCCATCATTTACTAAACCTCAATTTTCCGAACCTGATGGTATTAAAAAGCAATTGTTCCCGAATGAAGCCCGCTTAAGAGGATTAACGTAATTATTTTAAATTGTATTCTATATTATATTAAATAGACTTCGACTTTTCAATATTTTATTTTTTCGTGTATAGGTACTCATCCCCGTTGTTTTTAAATATGAAAGTTTTTGTATCAAAGCTAATCATAAGCAGCTTTGATGAAATAAATTACAACGAAAATGATTTCAAAGGATTTGAGGAGATTGTGATTGATGAACCGATATTTTTTGGAAAGGTAATTTTTGTTTCAAGGTTGATAATTACAATTTACTATGACGATAGTATAATATACATTTTCTCAATTGAAAATATAGATTCCTGTTATGGTACATTCTAAATTTTGCTCTTTAGCTGATTTGACCTTTGAGGAACTAAAAGAACATCACGAATGTCCATATGATCAGGTTGTAAATTTAACTTTCTTTTAACATATAATTTCCAATGCTAACTTCACTTCATTTTAGGGTGGTTACTTTATAATAAACGGTTCTGAAAAAGTTCTAATAGCTCAAGAAAGGTTAGCCTACAATTATGTCTATATCTTTAGACATGCTTCGCCGTCGACTACCTTGTATAGTGCGGAATTTCGTAGTTCTACTGAACACATGTCAAAAGTTAGAACTGTGAACTTGAAATTGATTACAAGAACTTTTGCCGGAGAAGTAAGTTCTTATACAATTTAAGGATCAATAAATTGATTTATATATTTATTCAACTTTGATTAATTATTAGAAAATCGAAACGTTCATACATGTCTCTTTGCCTTTTATTAAAAAAGACATTCCAATTAGAGTTTTATTTCTTGCCCTTGGAATCCTCAATGATGAGGACTTCATCGATTATATTTGTCTTGATTCTCATGATTCTGAAATACTCAAAATTGTACTATCTTGTATTGACGAAACGCGTGTAATTCAGTCGCAAAATGTATTTTACTTGTTTTGAATTCAAACCTCATAAAAAATATATACATGTTTATTTATTTTTTAGTTTTCTAATATTGATTTATTTGAAAAAAAAATCTAGGTCGCTTTAGATTTTATTGCGCGCAGAGGAACCACATCTAATGCGGTTCGGGAGAAAAGGATCGAGTTCGTATTGGTTTAAATTATTAATTTTATTACAAATTTGTTTAAATGATAATATGATGATATAACGATTAAATGTTGCATACTGTAGGTATGCGAAAAACATTATATGTAACGAATTTTTGCCTCACATTGGAGTAGGAATTGGCTTCAATTTAGTTAAAGGATATTTTTTGGGATATTTGGCGCATAGGCTTTTACTCTCTGCTCTTGAACGTCGGGAACTTGATGATCGAGATCATTTTGGAAAAAAACGCCTTGATATGGCTGGTCCTCTAATGATTTCATTATTCCGCACTTTATACAAAACAGTGTTAAATGAAATGACTGTTTATTTTAGAAAGGTAAAAAAAAATTGTTTTATTTTTTTGTTGATAAAAGTATTTACAGTTCGATTATACAGTATATGTGCTCACATGTTCGTTGTTTTGATTATTCTCTTTTATTAGTGTATTTCGATTAAACGCGACTTCAAAATACCTTTAGCGATAAGACCACAGATAATTACCAATGGATTTAGATACTCGATTGGTACCGGTAATTGGGGAGATGCCAAAAGGGCAATGCAGGCAATTTATTTTATCTTTTAAAAAAAAATTTCATTATTGTATTATTATTATTAATTCCTTTCCCCTTTCATTAGTCCAGGTCAGGTGTCTCACAAGTCCTAAACAGATTCACTTACGTGTCAACTATATCACATCTTCGAAGATGTAATGCTCCAATTGGACGCGAAGGAAAGTTCACGAAACCGCGTCAACTTCATAATACACATTGGGGTTACATATGCCCTGCTGAAACTCCTGAGGGACAAGCCTGCGGCCTAATGAAAAATCTAGCGCTAATGTCATACATTTCAGTGTCTATTCCATCTGATATTTTAAATGAATTTATTAATAGTTGCGGTATCTGTCAAAACATTAATGAAGCATCGTTTGATAACATTGCTAAATCCACAAAAGTTTTTGTCAACGGAAATTTGACGTGTATAACCGATAAACCTTTGGAATTAATAAAACTTATTCGGGACATTAAAGGAAATTCTCTTCCGGCCGATATTGGAATCGTTAATGATATACTTGTGAATGAAGTAAGATTCTACAGTGATTCAGGAAGAATGTGTAGACCACTATTTGTTGTCGAAGATCAACATTTAGTTTTGACTTCAAATATTTTATCAAAATTAAAACTGGCAAGTATTTATATACTTTTAATTATTTAATTTAAATTCATCCTTTTGTATCTTATCGTCATTATTTAATCAACAGGAGATTGCACAAGAGGCAAACCAAAATTTATGGGAGACATTAGTATTAGAGCGATACATCGAATATATTGATGCTGAAGAGGAAGAATCCACCATGATATGTATCTCTCCGGAAGAATTATATGAGTCGAGATTGTATAATTTACGTAAACTTGAAGGTTTAAGACCAAGAAGGAAAAGGCGATCGGTCCATGAACGTCTAATTAATTTACCAACTTATCCAAATAAGTGGACCCATTGTGAAATTCATCCAAGTATGATTTTGGGCGTATCCGCCAGTCTAATTCCATTTCCTGATCATAACCAAGTAAGATAATACATTAATGAAAATATAATTTTTGAGAAAGTTTATTAAACCTGACCTGTATCAATATATTTCATAAATAGTCTCCTCGAAATACCTATCAATCCGCTATGAGTAAGCAAGCAATGGGAATTTACGCGACTAATTTTCGATTAAGGATGGATGTATTGGCCAATTTGTTGTATTATCCTCAGAAGCCTCTTGTAACCACAAAAGTCATGGAATACCTTCAATTCAGAGAATTACCTGCTGGGATCAATGTTATCGTAGCTATTATGTGTTATGGAGGGTACAATCAAGAAGATTCTTTGATTATAAACCAAAGTAGCGTTGACAGGGGATTGTTTAGAAGCTTTACTTATCGACGTTATCTTGACCAAGAAAAAAAATTGGTACAGTAATCTTTTAGATTACAATTTTAAGATTTAATGTTTTTATAAATATTTTCTTTTTTTAAAAAAAGGGCGTTGTGAACATGGAAGATATAGTCAAGCCAAATCCTTATACGACCCTTGGACTAAAACGCGGAAGTTATGAGAAACTTGATGGCGATGGGATAGTACCTTGTGGAATTCGAGTTTGTGGAAATGATATTCTTATAGGAAAGGTGTCCACACTTTCACCCGAAGAAGAAATGCTTGGTCAACGAAAAGAATCTCACGTATATCGAGATGTTTCTACACCATTAAGATCTACGGAAAATGGAGTCGTTGATCAAGTAATTGTTACCACAAACCAAGAAGGAGCTAAATTGGTGAAAATTGGAGTTAGAAATACGCGAATTCCAGAAATTGGGGATAAATTCGCAAGTCGTCATGGTCAAAAAGGAACCATTGGAATCAATTATCGTCAAGAGGATATGCCATTCACTTGTGATGGTATTACACCTGATATTATCATAAATCCACATGCTATTCCTAGCCGCATGACAATCGGACATTTAATTGAATGTTTAATGGGAAAGGTATATGTAGTAAAAAGATAAGTTTTACAACCATATATACGTGATCATTCTAACTTGCGATTGTATACTCCTTTTAATAAAGCTTTCTGTGTTATCGGGTAGTGAAGGTGATGCTACAGCTTTTTCTGAAGTTACCGTAGAATCCATTTCGCGAAAACTTGGTTCTTTTGGATTCCACCGTCGTGGATTGGAAGTTATGTACAATGGTCATACTGGACGTAAATTATCAGCACAAATTTTCATTGGACCAACTTATTATCAACGATTAAAACATATGGTTCAAGATAAAATTCAGTAAGTCTTTAATATCAGTATAGAATTAATTTATAATTGCACCAAAATTTAAATTGAATATATAAATAGTTCACGCGGAAGGGGTCCAGTTAATATATTAACTAGACAACCAGTCGAGGGACGTAGTCGTGAAGGAGGATTAAGATTTGGTGAAATGGAACGAGATTGTATGATTTCACACGGCACAGCCTTATTTTTGAAGGTATTTTGTATTACAGCTATTTTCATAATTCCTGAACCATTAATAAATTGAGACTGAATGTGACAGAATGTGACTGACTGTGACTGAAAAATTATTTTGGTCCAGGAATTATGAAAATAGCTGTAAATGAATTTTAAATATATCTTTTATATTTATTGCTTTGCTTACAAATATATATATTTATATATATATATATTATTGTAGGAACGACTTAATGATGTCGCAGATCCTTATAGAATTCATGTGTGCGATATCTGTGGACTGATGTGTATAGCTCAAGTTTCAAAAAACCTTTATATTTGTAAAATTTGCAACAACACCACACAGGCGAGTTAAGAGTCTCGGTATATTATTGTTTTTATATCGATATTAAATAGTAAATTTATTTTTATTTTTATTTAGATTTCTCAAGTACAAATTCCATATGCGTGTAAAATACTTTTCCAAGAGCTCATGTCCATGAATATCTCTCCAAGATTAAATGTATTCTAAAATGGTTATGATGGGTGTATTCCTTCCTATATTGTTAATTTGTAATCTTACTTATTTGCTATTCTATTTTATTTTGGATATTTAGAATATTTATTATAATTTTGATGTATTATTTGTTTATTGAATGATATCCACCTGCTTGTCGAAATAAACAATAGTGTCCTTAATGGAGTAAGTCTAAGTAAAATTATTTATATTATGAAAAGAAAAAGTTATATTTCTTTTTCATAAATTTGAACTTCAAAGTCTTTGTAATGAAGGAAGCATTCAACTTAAGCATATTTTACGAAGAATAAAGAATTATTTTCAAGTCTATATCACATGGTCGATTCAATTAAAACAACAAAAATTATGAATTCGATTGATTTTTTATTTTTAATCAACGAAAATTTAATCAATCTCTCTTCTCTGATCTTTTCAACATAATCAATCAATTCTTTGCAATGCCTATTTCTTATGATGATGGATAGATTAAGATTATTTAAACATCAAATTCCTTCTTCATTAGTAACTTCAATTCATAAATTAATATTTAACAAATAATAATAGTTTATTTACATAAGTATTTGTAGTATTATACATTTTATTTTCATTTTATCGTACGCTCTAACTAAAATGCTTGCACTTGGCTCAACCATAACTGTTTCTCCCAAACACCGCGTAGAGGTGGCAAGGTTCGTTCAGGATAAGGGTAGATTATCAGAATAAAGTCTAAATTTTGGTATTTTGTATGGATCCAAAGTAGGGTGTCCAGGTGACAGCCTAAAAATCGCACATGATTTTACGATTATTATCGCGAAAAAATCGCGACTATAATTCTAGTCGAAATTTTATAATTTTTAGTAAATTGACCAAATTTATTATAGC